CCCCTTCCTTCGGACCAGCTGTCCAGCCCCCAGCCCCTCCTCTCTCAGACCAGGAGCCCCCACTCCTAGCCCCTTCCTTCGGACCAGCTGTCCAGCCCCCAGCCCCTCCTCTCTCTGGCCAGGCGCTCCCACTCCTAGCCCCTTCCTTCGGACCCGCCCTCAGCCCCTCCTCTCTCTGACCAGGAGCGCCCACCCTTAGTCCGTCCCTTCCTTTAGACCAGCTGTCCAGCCCCCAGCCCCTCCTCTCTCAGACCCCTCCCTCTTTCTCTCTGGCCCATAGGTCACACCAGGATGTCGGACACGGAAGAGCAGGAGTACGAGTGAGTGCTGCTGGGGGGGCCCTGGAGGGGCTCTCTACTACATTTAACCCCCTTTTCTCTCCTTTTCTCCATCTTCAGGGAGCAGCAGGAAGGTGAGTCCAGAAGGGGCTGTGGGTCTCAGGCAACAGGAGGAGGGGGTGAGCTGGGGGATCCGTAACTGGGGGGGGTGTGTGCCTCTGACTGTTCTGCTCACCTTCCCACCCCTCCCCATTCTAAGGCCTTTTTGCTTCAGAAATGGGAACAAAAGCATTTTGGGGGGTGATAAAACAGAGGCTCAGTATTTGAGGTGCTAAATTTCAGAGGTGTTGGGCTTGGACACTGATGGTCTAGTGCTGCCAACCCAAAGGCAGATGGTTCGAATCCACCAGCTGCTCGGTGGGAGAGAAACAGGCCATCTCCTTCTGTGTGACTGACAGCCTGGGAGAACCAGCTGGAGGGTCAGCTGCGAGCTGGTCCCTACTGGACGCCACTTCAAAACAACATCAGAACGTGGGGTGTCAGAATCTTGAAGTATCAGGGACTGGGGGAGCCGAGGGTTAGGCATCTCAGAACCAACCAAGGTAACCAACTGTGAAGTCTTAGGACGTGAAAGGAGGTGGATAGAAAGAATCGAGGGTACGAGAATGGGGGAAGATCAGAAATTGGGGTCTCAGAATCTAGAGGTAGGGGAAATGGTGGTGTCTGAATTGGAGAACATTAACTGGGGTGTCAGAATCTGGGGATATGGAGATCTAAAGAGCCTTAACCTGGGCACTTCTGATGAGTTGGCTGAGGAAGACGGGGCAGTCTGCTTCTGCGCATTGTTGACGTTCGTCCTCAAAGAACTCACACGGGAGGAGATTGCCCATCTTTCTCCTGCAGAGCAGCTAGAGGATTAGAACCCAGTACCTCTTCACAATCACTTACCATGCATCAGAGAGCTGGACAAAGACTAGGGAGGATAGAAGGAGAGTTGACGCCTTTGAGCTGCAGTGCTGGAGAAGAGTCGTGAATAGACCATGGACTGCTAGGAGAACAAACAGTTCGTCCTGGAGAGGGTGAAGCCAGGCTGCTCCTGGGAGGCAAGGATTCTGAGGCTTTGTCTGACATACTCTGGACATGCTGTAAGGAGTGACCAGTTCTTGGAGAGGACATCATGCTTGGGAGGGTGGAGGGACCGCGCAGGAGGGGAAGACCCTCGATGAGATGGATTGATTCAGTGACTGGGGTAATAGGGGTAGGTGTGTCAGAGAAGATTAGGTTGGCACAGGATAGAGCAAGGTTTAGGGTCACTGTAAGTCACAGGTGACTTGAGGGCACATTACACCACCACCACCCCTGGGTTGGCAGTACATCATTACCACTAGGCCACCAGAGCCCCAAGCCTTGGAAATTCCACGGGAGGGATAGTTCCACTCTTTCCCTAAGGGCCTTTATGAGTGCAAATCCACCCCACAGGGCAGTGGGCTTTGTCTTCTTGTTTTTACTTAACCTCGACATTTTGGGGGACACCCCCCACCTCCACCCCACCCTGGGGCTCCTGAACCCGCAAACCTCCCTCTTTATTTTCACTCCCCACTTGCAGAAGAAGAAGCTGCTGAAGAGGAGGAGGAAGGTGAGGTTTTGGGTCCCTCAGGTCCAGTGCTGGATGCGGGGTCCAGGGGTCAGGGGATTGAGTGGGGATGGGGATGCTGGGGGCGGGGTTTGGCCAGTAGGGGCGCTCCAGTCCCTTCTAACAGCCTCTCCCCTCTCTCCCTTTCTCCCCCTCCTGCATCCTGGCGTGGCCGCTCCTGCCCCTCGCACCCCTCCTGGTCACCCCAAATCCTTGCTTCTCCTGCTCCCTCCCCAGCCCCTGAGGAGCCGGAGCCGGTGGTCGAGCGAGGTAACCGCGGCCGCTTCGCTTCCTGAGACTGATTTTGGGGCCCGGGGAGACCCCGATATCAAGGGGGCCCTGACTCCCACATAGCATCCCCCCCACAACCCCCCCCACCTGCCCGTACCTGGGCCCTTTAAGCCATGAAGGGAAATGGCCCGCAGGGGCCCTAACCCTTTCCCTTCCTTCTTAAAGGGAACAACACCCAAACCTTCTTGCCCCCCCCTCGCTGGGGCCATATTTACAGAAGGGTTGGATGTTTGAAGAGAGACCCCCACCCCATTCCCCCTCACTTTCACCCCTGTCTGTCATATTTGTCCCCCATATACATTCAAAGATTGGGGGTTGGTTAAAGAGGTGCCCACGAGTTGAGAGCCCGAAATGGGGGTTTCTATTTTCTGAGGAGAGCGGGCGGGGGGGGGGGGCTGAGGACAGAATCCCTGGGTCCTTGAAGGAAGAAAAGACTTGGGGTCCCGCTAGGAGAGCTCTGGGTACAGAGGTAGGAGGGTCTGGGCGTTTGGTTGGCGGAGACGCCCCCACACCCATTCTGAATGTATATCTGATGCGTGTGACTCTCCTTGATGGCCACGCCGGCTCCCCTTCTCCTCTCTTCTCCCCCCACCCCGCCGTCCCCCTTCCCTGCAGGGTCAGGAGGAGGGTCCTGGACTCTAGAGGGTCCATCCTGGAGAATTTCCCCTCCAGGGTTTGTCAGCTCACACCCCTACCTGTGAACGCCTGCTAATTCTCTCTTTTGTATCCCCTCCCCCAACCCCACCAGAAGAGGAACGCCCCAAACCCAGGTGAGATCCTCTGGAAGAAGGGGTTCCAGACGTGCCTTCCTATACACCACACCTAGAGACAGAGACAGAGGAGGCAAGGGACTGAAAGGGTGGGAAGAAGGGACAGACAGGGTGGTCAGAGCCCTCTCAGTGCCGGAGAACTGCCCTCTGAGTGGTCAACGCAGAGCCTCTCCTCTGTTGGGTGGAAGAGACCCAGGGCCACTGACGGACAGGTAGCAAGGGACAGGTGATTCCCTCAGCAATCAGGGAAGGCTTCCTGGAGGAGGTGAGGCCTGAGGCCTGAGGGAAGAGGTATCTGCGAGTTGAAGGAGGCAGAAAGGGCACCCTAGACAGTGATGAGAGGGTACACAGACCTGAGTGTGGGTATACTCTGACCCTTCAGGGATCTGAGACAGACACTGGCCACTAAAGTTTAGTAGCCACATATTTAAGAAGACAAAGGAAGTGAAATGCAACTTAATAATGTATTCTATCCAAGCCACTGTTGTTGCTGTTAAGTACCCTGGCGACAGAACTAATGTATAGCTGAGCCTCTAGTAGGTTTTCAGAAGCTGTAAATCCCACTGGAAGAGATTACCTATCTCTTTCCCACGAGCAGTTGGTGGATTTGAACTGTCTGCCTTTGGTTTGGGAGTGTAATTCCTTACCACTAAGCCATGAGATATCCTGATTCAACCCGTTGTTGTTGTTGTACCCGAGTACCATTGAGTTGGAAGCCGACCTTCCTGTGGATTTTCAGAGGCAGTTAATTGCCCGGGAGAAGATACCTCCTCCAATTTTATCATTTCAGCATGTAAACACTAGAGAAATATTTGTTGTTGCTGTTGATTGCCTTCGAGTCGAGCAAGACTCCATAGCGATTCTATGAATGAAAGGTCTGAGCACTGTTCGTACATAGCGTTTCCAGAGGCAAGCCATTTTGGAAGTGGCTGCCGCTCCTGCTTCCAGACTTGTTTTAGTCGGGAAGCTTCATCAAACACTGTCCACCATGGGTACCCATTACCATGTCTGGCACATTAGTGTCCCAGTGTTCAGAATCACAGTAACCATGAGTTACCTCTGTACAGCAACGCACAGACGAGTGCTATACCACCTTGAAGATACATTCACATACACACCCAAATGATTTTTTCTTACACACCCAAAATTTATCTACTAGTCCTTCCTTCCTTCCTCCCCCTCCCCTTTCTTTCTTGTGATTTGGGTCAATGTTAACTAAAACAATCGACCTTCCATTCGACAGTTTTAGTTGATGCCCTCACATGTTTTACTCATGATGTTGATTGCAATCGCTACAATGTCACAGCACTCTTCCCATTTCCTACCTAAGTTTACCTCTTCCACTCATCCATTTTCCCCTATCCTTTCCAGCCTTCTGGGCTTTCTCCCTGGGCAAGACTATTTGACTGAACATTGAGGCACAGGGCATCTAAAAATGATGGATGAGGGTATCTCTCTTTTGCGAAGCTAAGTCTTTGGAATTGGGTGTGTCAATTGATCACAGTCCTCATTTGTTGCAAGGGCCCTGGCTACCGTAATGAATAGTGTATCCGCGGAGTCTGCTATTTTTTAGGTCAGACGAGCCACGATTTTTCTCTTTTCTGTCCCTCCAGTCGTCCTGTGGTGCCCCCGCTGATCCCCCCCAAGATCCCAGAAGGGGAACGCGTTGACTTCGATGTAAGTAATACAGCTCTCGACGCCCGGGTGCAGCTGCCAGCCCATATGGCACTTCTGTGCAAATAGGGGCCACTTTAGTTCTCCCACGGTCAGAACGTGGGAATGTGAGAACGAGGTGCTGTGCTGCCCCCTGCTGGCGGTGAGCGTCATCGCCAGCCCCCAGTCCGCCCAGGCCTGTCAAGAGCGCCCCCTAGTGTACACAGGCGCCCTGACAGCTCCCAGCTTTGACTCTGGGGGTCCCTGGCATCACGGGGCTCCCACCCTCACCCCTAAAGGACATCCACCGGAAGCGCATGGAAAAAGATCTGCTCGAGCTGCAGACGCTCATCGACGTGCATTTTGAGCAGCGGAAGAAAGAGGAGGAGGAGCTCATTGCGTTGAAAGAGCGCATTGTGAGTTGGGGGACCCTGGAGTGTGTGTGGGTCCCTTCTGTTATTGCCTCGGCAGATGCCCATTTCTTGGGCCTAGAGCTACAGGCAGGCTGTTGTGCAGAGCTGCAGCCTGTGGAAGGTGGGGTTGTTGGGAGGTCAGTGACCACCCCCAGATGCTCATCTCGCTCTCAGCCCTCCCTGAGGGTACAGGATGGGACCCCTGCACCCCTTACTCTCCTCCCTGCCTCAGGAGCGGCGCCGAGCCGAGCGGGCTGAGCAGCAGCGCTTCAGAACCGAGAAGGAACGCGAGCGGCAGGCCAAACTGGCGGTGGGTGCCTCCTCCCCAGCCCAAAGGGAAACCTTTTCTGCATTTCTGACACTCTAAAATGCTAGGTGGACTCCCAAGAGGTGGAAGTGACAAGGAGATGGGTCCTTTTCTAGAGTCTCCGGAAGAACCAGTACCTTGACTTTACTCCTCTAGGACCCATTTCTGACCTCAAGAACTGCTGCTGTTGTTGTTGTTGTTGTTGTGTACCCTCGAGTTGGAACCGACCCAGAGCCAGACCTAACCCTCTGGCCGGTTAATTGCATGGGAGGAGACTGACTGCCCATTCTTCTCCATGGAGCAGCTGGTGGATTTGAACTGCGTGCCTTTTGGGATTGCAATACAGCTTCTTGTCACTAGTCCACAAGAGCTGCAGGATAATAAATGGGCATTGTCTCAAACTTGTTATATTTCTAAATAAAGGTTCTGGTGGCCTAATGGTAAAGAGTTGTACCCTTAACCCAAAGGCGCCCAGCTCGAATCCACCAGCTGCTCTGTGCGAGAAAGATGGTCTCTGTAAAAAGGTTCCCAACTCTATGCTTATAACCCAGCTCTTGTCTCTGAGAGACTGAAGATTCCCTGGCCAGGGCAGCCCTTCAGGAACTACCATGTAAGGGATTTTATCAAGCTGGTTTCAGAACACAGAGCTTAAGTCATTTATAACAGAAGCATCAAGGAAGGCGAACAACTGTACATTTTGAAATGTTGTTGTTAAGTGCTGTCAAGTCATAGATGACTCATCGCGACCCTATGAACCAAAGAGCAGAACAATTGTATCACTTTCATCATTTCTCCAAGTTCATAGAGTTTCTGGAGACAAGCTATTCTGAAAGTGGATGCCACTCCTGTTTCCAAGCTTGTTTTAATTGGGGAGCTCCACCAAACACCGTCCACCATGGGTAACCATTCTTGCATTTGACAAATCAGTGTCACAGTGTTCAGCTTCACAGCAACCTCTGTACAGCAATGCACAGACCAGTGCTCTACCACCTAGAAAAATATTTGACCGAAAATAATTAAAACCAGGCCTGGGGACCGCAGATTAAAATCACCCACCTTTGGCTTGGTAGCATCGCTTTCTGTCCACTATGCTTACAGAGCTCTCTCTATGATGTTGTTGTTGTTGTTAAGTGTCAAAATGTACCTCTGGAACATTGTGAAATAGAAAACTTTATTAAAGGGAATAAAAAGAAAAGGATGGGTAGTCTCCACTAGTGTGAAGTACTGCCTCTAAAAACCCACTGGAAGGGAGCTCTGGTGGCCTAGTGGCAAGAAGCTGCACTGCAATCCCAGATGTGCGGTTCGAATCCCCAGATGCGCTGCTGGAGAAAGAGGGGCAATCTCCTCCTATACCAGTCAGATCCGATTTGACAGTATACACACAAAATATAATAAAATTTTTAAAAATTATTAAAAATCCCCACTGGAGAGTCAGTTATGAGTCACTTCCAACTTGATGGCAGGTCAGAACACACTTGCAAATGCAGTCATCATAAGGAAGATAGGTGGGGTCTACGGAGCCCTGCCTTGATTACCCCTAGCGCGCGAAGCATCACCTGGACAAGCCACTCTTCCTCACGCTTTTGCTAGCTTTCCACACCGTCACGGGAATGTCTTTGCAAGACATTAGGCTCATGGTCTCTTAAGGGGACCAAGCCTCCACCACCTTTTACCCTTCTTGACTCCAAGCACCATTTCAGGTCCTGGATTGGAGACCAAGCCCAGAGAGGTTAAGCGTCTCTCACTGTCACACGGCCAAGTACATCACTGACAAGTTCAGGTGGAGAGATGTGGAAGAAAACACACAAGCCCACACGTCACTCTCACATCTGAAATGTTACTGAGACGGGTAGGAGAGGCGAGGGGACAGGTTCTGGACCTAGATTGTAGCCTCCTGTATCTCTTTGATCTCCAGAAGGTCCCAGCGTCAGCCCTGCCTTTGGGCTCCAGCTGTTAGTGTCCCAATTCCACATCCCAATCCCACTCACCCCAAATCCCTCAGCCCTAGGGTGCTTCGGGATTAACCCTATCCTTCCCACAGGAGGAAAAGATGCGGAAGGAAGAGGAGGAGGCCAAGAAGCGGGCGGAGGATGATGCAAAAAAGAAGAAGGTTCTGTCCAACATGGGGGCCCATTTTGGGGGTTACCTGGTCAAGGTGAGTTCAGCCAGCTGAGGCCTGAGTTCTTGGTTCCCAGGGAGGCAGGGAGTGGAGGGCTGAGACTTTTGATTTCTGAAGGATGGAAGATGTGGACGGGGCCTGAGCTCTAGGATGGGAGGGAGGGAGGCGATGGTTTCCCAGACGCCCCACGTGAGAGAGGAGGACAGGGCCCAGACTCGTGGGTCTGCAGCAGGAAAGGGCTGGTCATCAGGAGTCTCCCTGCTCGGGGTTCAAGGTATCCCCTCTCTCTCCCCAGGCGGAACAAAAGCGGGGTAAGCGCCAGACAGGGCGGGAGATGAAACAGCGGATCCTGTCTGAGAGGAAGAAGCCCCTGGAGATAGACTACATGGGCGAGGACCAGCTCCGGTAGGTGGGGCGGGCCAGGACCCCCTGTGAGGACCAGCAGCCAGTCTCACATACTCCAGGCACGGTGTTACGAGGGGCCAGTCCACAGAAAAGCACATCACACATAGGCAGGTGGACTTGAGCGCAAGACAGAAAAGCCCTCAGTGAGATGGGCTGACCTGGTGACCGTCACGGCGGGCTCAAGTGGGTCAGAAGTGGTGAGAAAGGCACAGGACAGGACAGGACAGGGTCCGATGCATCGTTCACAGGGTCGCTAGGAGTCATAGCTGACTTGAAGGCACCTAACGCACTCCCACCCCCCAGGCTTCCAGAGTCTGAAGGACACACCCCAAGATGTGAGTGGGCAGGGCCCCAGCCCAGTGCTGTGTGACTTTGGCTAAATACCACACCATCCCCCTCCAGATGTGAGTCAGCAGGGGACCCCCAGTGCTGTGTGACTTTGAGAAAACACCACACACACACACCCCTCACCTCAGGTCTCTGCTGTCTCTTCTGGGAGCAGCTGACACTAACCAGTGTGGCAGCAGAGGTCCCAGCTCACGGCGCCCCCCATGCCATGCCCACCACGTTCCCACAGGGACAGTGAGGCCCAGAGACGTGGTGGGAGGGCTTTCTCGGGCCACATGGCCAGTGAGGACAGTGGCTCTGCATTCCAGCTGCAGGGGCTGACGGTGTGACTTGATGCACCATGTTCCAGGTCAGAGGCTGTCAGGCCAAGGCCAAGGCCCCCGGGAGTGGCCCTCGACAGCCTGCCTTTTTGTAATTCACCTTGAAATGCCTGCCTTCCTGGCTATGGGCTGGGGCATATTCCTGCTGGTCAGTGCTGCTGGTCAGCGATTCTTCTGGAAAATTCCTGCCACGTATTTTCCTTTTCTGTACTTGTTCTTGTGATGTGGGTGAGACGTTTCAGGACACCCTGGGTTTCCACTGCACAGTTCACCCGCGTTTTGATTTACGCCGTTGCATACCGTCCCATAACAGCACTCTGCCCCCTTCCTCTCGGTGTGTCCCATTTCCACTTGTCCTTAACGCCCATCCTTCCTGCCTTCTGCGCTTTTATTCCTGGGCAGACGCTGCCCTTTAGACCTCGTTGGGCTGACTGTTCCAAGAAGGCTCGCCTCCCTGGTGTTTTTGATCCCCGTATCTGAGTTGGAACTGACTCATGGCACAGTCTCTATTGTGTTTCTGAGACTGTACATCTCACGGGAGGAGATTTCCTGCCCCTTTCTCTGCTGGAGTTGCTGGTGGCTTTGAGCTGCCAGAGAGGTGTGGTTTGTGGGGTTTGTGTATTCTTTTTATTCCTTTCTGGCACATTTTCTTCCCCGTCCCCTCCCTGCCCCTTCTCCCAGTGCCCTTGGTACTGCACCCCTTGCCCCAGGTAAGGTGTGGGTTTCTCCTGGGAGGACTCCCTCACAGGCGGGCCAGCTGTGGCTCTGTGCTGAGTCACCGAGGCCAGTTTGGCTCCTGGGTGGAAGGATCACTGGAGGTCATGGTCTTCGGGACTTTACTAGCCTCGGCCACAACAAGGAATCCACCTTTCTCTCTCTCTTCTCCTCCTCCTCCTCTTCTTCTCCTTTTCTCTCCCCCCCCCCCCCCCCTCCCCTCTCTCTCTAGCATTATGATGAGTTTTCTCTGTATTTCTCTGAGTGGTAGGTGGTTCTTTCTTCTCTCTCTCTCTCACACACACACACTATAATGAGTTTTCTCTGTATTTCTCTGAGTGGTAGATGGTTCTTTCTTCTCTCTCTCTCACACTCACTCACTCACACACACACACACACACACACACACACACTGATGAGTTTTCCCTGTATTTCTCAAAGTGGTAAATGGTTCTCTCTCTCTCTCTCCCTCTCCCTCTCCCCTTTAATTTTGAGTTTTCTGCCACACTTCTCTCCGACTCTCTCCAGGACCTACCGTGGTCCCTTTCCGTGCGACGCACCCCGGTGGCGGGCCACCATCCAGTCCTGTTCTCGGGGCTGTGCAAACAGAATTGCAGTGACCCTGTGCTACAGTTAGCAGTCTTCTCTGCCTCGGACAGGGAGGGACCAGTAGTTTGGCCTCACAGGGCTGGGCCGAAGCGTTGGAAACCCCCTAACACGTAGGGCATTGTCCGTGTGCTTCCATCTTTAAGAAGGAGCCTTGAGGTGCTCTGCTGGTTAACCCATCGAGAGCTGTGCTGTTAATGAAAAGATGGGTCTCTGTGGGGTGTCATTAGGTCAGCCACATCGGATAAATTACAGCGGATAGTGTTATTCGACTTCCTCCATACCTGCTTGACTCGCGGGCCACAGCCACAAAAAACGTGGATCCTAGGGGAGCTCTGGTGGCCTAGTGGCAAGAAGCTGCACTGCAATCCCAGAGGTGCACGGTTCAAATCCACCAGATGCTTTGCCGGGGAAGGAGGGGCAATCTCCTCCTGTACCAGTCAGATCCAATTTGACGGTACACACACACACACACACACACACACTAATAAAAATTTTTAAAAAAAAGTGGATTCTAACCCAATGCAAGGGTGCTGCTCCACCCTCAACTCCACGTCCAAGGGCCTGACTGCCTGCTTTCTAAAAAAGAGAGCCCCCTTTTCTCCCTGTCCAACCTCCCCCCCAGTTCGCTCTTCTCTTTGAAAAGTAAAAGTCATTCATTATTATATATAATCCCTCCCCCCAGTCCACTCCACTCTGTAGGCTCCATTCTGGACTCCTGTCATGACAATAATACGTAGTCATAAATCCCTTTTAAACAGTTCTCTCACTTATCTGTTTCAATGCAGTATATATAATTTATCCCATCTTTCTCAGTCTCCCAACCCCAAAGCCAGTCCCGTTTTACAAGTGACACTATGCAGTCTTTGTCCTTTTTTTATTTTTTATTTTTTTTTTATTTTAT